CATCCAAGATGTAGATGAGTTTGTTTCTTCATCAGATTTGGAGAAATGCAGCATTGCATCAGTGTCTCAGCAATGGATGCTCTGCAGTGAATGGGTGCCGTCAGAATGAGAGTCCAAACAGCTGATAAACACATCACAATAATCCACACCGCCTCCGGTCCATCAGTTAATATCTTGTGAAGTGAAAAGCGGCGTGTTTGTAAGAAACAAATCCAACATTTTTTAACTTTAAACGGTTGCTTCCAGCTAAAATACGAGTGCTCTATCCATAAAATTGATTTCTGCAGTGAAAAAGTGGTCTGGTCTGAATCAGATGTGAAATATACACAGATCAAGCACCGTTTACAAGTGAACACAGTCCAACAGTTCTAAATGAATAATTCTAAATGGCTTTTAAAATGAGAGGACAACAGTGGATGGACTTTTTCACTGGGGGAAGCATTATTATGGATTATGGACTCATAATTTAGTTAAAAACATCTTATTTGTTTCAGCTTTTGTCTTCTCCAGATGTTAACTGATGGACTGGAGTGGTGTGGATTACTTGTGGATTATTGTGATGTTTTTATCAGCTGTTTGGACTCTCATTCTGACGGCACCCATTCACTGCAGAGCATCCATTGCTGAGACACTGATGCAATGCTACATTTCTCCAAATCTGATGAAGAAACAAACAAGTTTTTATTTTGGCGTGAACTACTCCTTTAATACTTTGTTTGTTCAAATCAATAACAAATAGTGTTACTGAACAAACGGCACTAATAACAAACCCAGCCTGTGTTTAGTTCAGTCAGATGTGTTTACAATGCATTCACCCACCAGAGGGCGTATGATAAACCTCAGTGCTTCGAGGCACACAGAAATAACACAATTGATCTGCACTGCAGTTTATTAGTGGCAGGATATGAAAATCAGAAACTCATAAACCCCATTTCCGAACCACAAAGACCAGCAGCTGAATGGAACATTAGTCCTGATAAATGTGTGGCTATCTATCTATCTATCTATCTATCTATCTATCTATCGTGCTATTGTTCTATCTATCTATCTATCTATCTATCTATCTATCGTGCTATTGTTCTATCTATCTATCTATCTATCTATCTATCTATCTATCTATCTATCGTGCTATTGTTCTATCTATCTATCTATCTATCTATCTATCTATCTATCTATCTATCTATCTATCTATCTA